AAAAATCCAGAGGTTTTCCCGGCTGGCCTGACATTGCTGCGGTAAACCGCAGATACGAAGGACTTACCCTGAAAACCGGGAGCCGGCTATCAGGGCCAAATCTGTAAATCATTGACGATAAAGTCATGCATTATGAAGGGTTAAAATGGTTTTCTCGCATGATGTAAAATAAATTATCGGGTACATCACTTTCGACAATATTATTTTTCCAAAAGAAAACATGTGATGATAACATTGTTCCAAAATCACCAAAGTTTGTAAGATTGTACTTAAATTTACTGCTTGGTGATTAAATAAAAAAAGGTCTTTGTTAGAATTTTCTTCCACTGTGTTTAACATGAATCTTAGTTGCAGTGTACAGTTAGTCTTGTTTGGTTATGTGCGAAGACCCGTACATAAACTATTAAAGAGTTGTAAAAAATAATCGAAAGGATATTCCAAGACTTAGATTGGATCTTTTGGCCCTTACTGTCTTTTCATCTTTTTCAATGCTCGTTTATATATTTCCAGTCAAACTAGGCATGTCACTGTACTCTGGCTGACATTTAGCTCAAGTCGGCAAAAAAACACCTGTAGTTACCTTAATTCCTGACCCGAGTTTTGTGCCCAGACAATCTTCGCAACCACGCATGGATCAAATTGTTATAAGCAATCAGGAAAACATTCACAGCTTTCAAAAGATTTTTTAAATTGTTTGGGCTTAATTCAGTCTTCTCTACGATATTGATAGTTGAATATATTTAAATTGCCTAAATCTGAATCAAGACCGAAGAAAGTAAGAACCTGGGATTGTTTGGAACCACTGTGCTCCTCTTACTTGGTTGAGTATGAAGTTGCACTTACCACGAAAAGTAGGTCCCGACCACCCACAAACAATGCGCACAGGACATTAACAGCAGAATGTAAATGTATGAGTCAATAATATCAGTGATTTATGAGTGAGTGAGAAAACAAATTCGCACAAACAAAGGAAAATGGATAAACTATTGATGGCCTGTCACCAAGGGATTCAAATAACCAGTTGGACAGTGCCAGGGCATATTTAGTTAATACGGAGGGTGATAT